ATGGATATATATATTGTATTGATAGCATGGACATGAATAGTATAGAATTATTGACACTGTTGCCTATAGATTCATTGATTTCTGCTTATAGATTTATTGTTACTACTGCCTATGGATTTATTGATCTTGAGATTTATCGTACTGCTTTCCTCGTTTGATTTCATTGAATAGTATTGATTAGACCGCATTGATTTGATTTGATAGCGATTGATTTGACGGATTGATTGATTTCCTATTGCGTACGGATTTCTTTGAGATTGACATGGATTTATTGAGTTGATTTATCGATTCGCTTGCTGCTGCATTGACTGGCTTTATTGACTATTGAATTTTCGTACTGCATAGACTCATTGACCATTGACTGATTCAGATTGATAGATTGACATGCATATTGATAGCATCGCCGTGCTTTGATTTCAGTTATAGGTATTAGGTGACCTGCTGGGCTTTGTAAAGCTCATTATATGTGGTTGATAATTTCAGGTCCGAGCAAGGCAACTGGAATGGAGTTCGATCAGAATGTCAGACGAATCCTTTCACTATGGATGCCTGGGGCGTCACACACTGCCCCCAGAAAACTCCCGTAGGGGCGCTGTCCCTTGACCCTGCGACCTGGCCGGGTAGGTCGAATCCTGTCAAAGGGTGCTGCCCCTTAAACTCCCTACATATTGTGTAGAGGAGTTACCTAATTTTTGCTTAAGAATAATTGTCATTATATAAGCTATTGCGTCCTGGAATATTCGCGGCGGTAGAGAAATATAAAATTTAATGTCTTAGCTTTGTATGAATATCCAGCACACAAGCAGATAAAAGAAAGGGTGTGGCGTTCATAAGGGACACTAGAGTTTTTACATGTAAACCCCTGAAAAAGGGGAAAGACCACGGAGCCTAGCCTAGTTTAAATGAATTCATTAGTGTTTGCAATCAATTACAAAATCTACATTTTTGCTTATAAGTCCCCCCTGAAAATTAAGACTAATTCTGCCCTTGCCTTTTCTTAAAATCGTGAATGAAGAATATGATATATCAGTACTAAAAAACTAATGGTAAAATATTTTTGTTTTCAGTTCAGAATGTTATTCTTGCTGAAGATAAACAAACTTAAATTTGATATTGCTCTTCTCGTAAAGTAAATCTAACATAACTTGGCTAGAAATTTGTTCAAATATCAACTGATTTTTTTTTCTTCTAAGAAATAATTGAGAAACACACAACTTTGATTGCAAATTAATTTGATCAAATGAAAAAACCAATTAGAGTGACAGGAAAGGAGGACTACGTCATTCTTCCAATAAACTGCTCAAATAGGTCTTTTCAGTACAGATTCCCACCAAGAACGGCAATTAAGGTCTAAAGCTCCGCCTCGTCGTCACCTTGCTCTTACCATAATACATATATGACGATGGGTGGAATCCTACGTGCTTGACCAAAGGCCCTCACTAAAAAAACAAGGGCGCTTGGCGGTTCGTAAATCACGGTTGATCTACCGGGCCACCCACGCCTATGTTTTAACCCGCAGACAGCGCTTTAACGGCCCCCACTTAAGGGGCGACTGCCGCTCAAGAGAATCAAACTTGGTATTGGGGATTCCCACCCGAGCACGTCCATCAACCGAGCTAAGCATCGATGGGTGTATGTTATTTTTTGGGAGAAGAAAAGGTGTACGTGAATATGGTCGGCCTTTGTGGCAAACAAGTTTAGAGAAAAGAGCAAGTAATGTCAGTTAAAGAGAGCCCTAGGGCTTGCCTATGAACGCCGGTTGTTGTGTTTATAATGGCTGGCTTAGCTATAAGAAGAATCTGGTAGTGGAATGAGTCTTCATTGAAATTTTGAATAAAGTGCGATGCAATATTAAAAAAATTTCTGAAGCGCGCAATGGTTTAATATTTAAAGATGTTTATAGTTTTTTATTAAAAGTAAAATTCGAGATCTATTTGAATCTTACTGAATTCGACCGCAGGTCGGGGAATATTATATTGTTTAGTTAACAAATCGACTATAGAGTACATATTTATGAGGAATGAAAGGATCAAGAGAAGAGTTAGAAGACAGGATTAATTTGTCTTTCGGTTAATTTGTCACCTATCTAAACATTTTATTTTAGATATTATAGTTGGATTAAGAATATAAATATATGTATGATTATCATTTTTCACACGAAATATACTACTTTGAACCTTAGGCTTAGGGTTCATTTAAGACGTCTATAATTTTTAAAAATGTAGTTGTAAATTAAAATATTGTGAAGAAATCAAATTCTTTAAAGTTGTTGTAGAAAATAGCTTCCTAGCACAAAATTGTTTTCAAAAGTTGTGGTCAAATAGAAAATGTCGTTGCAGTCTGAACACCAAAGCAGTAAAAAAGCTATCTTAAACAAAACCTTAGTTGAGCTTTTACATAATCTATATTTCAATTTTCAAATAAAAATTCGTCTATCACAATTTTCAACTAAAAAAAAAAGAAAAAAAAATCACTGTGTATGAGATCAAGACTAGGGGTGCAAACAAGCCGAGTCGAGCTCGAGCCAGCCCTAACTTGAGCTTGACTCATGAGTCAATCCCGAGCTCGAACTCGAGTCTAGCTCGAGCTCAACACACCAGTGAAAATGAGCCCGTTAAGCGGCTCAATTTCGCAATTTGCACAAAGACTTAGCCTCTTCTATTGTTCGCACGGCTTCACCCCTTATGTCGTTTACACGCGGCATGCACTTCTTCTTCGGTTCGCCACCTGCCATTCTGCCTTCAGCCTTCTGTGTATGTGGCTCCGAGCCCGCCACCCATCGTCCCACCTTTAGAGTTCTGCATTTAAGGTAGCCCTCTCGCCCGAGCCACTCAATCACTACAGGAAAATCGCCCATTTCCGGCGGCCTTTTCCGGCGGAAAGTGAGCCCTTTCCGGCGGTTTTTTAATGTTCCGGCGGTTAAAAAACTGCCGGTAAAAACGGCGTAGGAAAATAAATTCCGGCGGTTTTTTCCGGCGGCAATTTATTTTTGCGGGAAATTAGCCGTCGCAAAATTTTGCGGGGAAAACTGGCCGTCGGAAAGCCGCCGGTAATCCGTCGGAAAGCCGCCGGAAAATTTTGTAGGGAATAAGCCGTCAAAAACCGCCGAAAATCCGCCGGAAAGCCGCCGGAAAATTCCGCCGGTAATAAGTGATTTTCCTGTAGTGAATGAGTAATCAAGTGAGCCTTCTACGGTTCGAGCTCGATAATCCAACGAGACTGAAATTCTGCTCGAGTTCAAACTCGAAACACTATAAGCTCGACTCATGAGCTCGTTAGAGAGTAGTGCTCGAGTCGGCTTAACTTGTTTGCAACCCTAATCAAGATGATATCAATTGTCATGTCTATTATGGAATATGGACTATTCAATGATAACAACATTTTATAGCTTGCATAAATTTAAGTATAAAATACATGTGAAAGTTGTCCACAGCTGATAATTTTATTCTTAAATTTAAAAATATCACATCAAATTATATACATATGTTTTTAATATTTTGAAGGATGTTTTATCTAGTTTAATAATTTATATTTCATATCATGACCTAAAATAGAAATAGAAATAGTTTAAATTTTGGTTGTATATTCTTTCTCCAAGCAAATAGAAAAAACTTATATCAAAATATTTTGATGTAAAATACATTAAAATGATCTTTAAAATCATTCAATTTATGTTACAATTAAAATTATATATAATATTCTGAATTATGCTAATCTTAATATAAAATAAAATAACTATAAAAATTATTTTTAAATATTTTACATAGCAATATATTATGACATAATTATTTCTTGAATCAATTTGGCAAATGTGAAGATGGTCGGCCCTTTGTGGCCAGCAAAATTAGTGAAAAGGTCAAAGTAATGTCAGTTAAAGAGAGCCTGATGGCTTGCCTATTGATACCTATTGTTGCTTTGATAATGCCTACCTGAGAAGAATATATTAGTGGAAATCATACAGTGGAGTTTTGATTAAAAGGGCGATATAATATATAAAACTATTATGAATCAAATGATAATTTCTTAAAAATACTCAATTATGACGTTTTATTTGCCAAAAAAAATTAAAAAAAAAAAATGAAGGCCGATTTAGGACAGAGAAGATTGGCAAGTTGTCAAAATTGAGCTTGATTATAAGAAGCAAAAGACAATTATACTAGCATCTTTTAAGAACTACCTCCCAAGAGAAGAGTTAGAGCAAAAAATTTTAAAAAATAAAAAAAAAAATTGGTATAGGAATTTAAGTTTGTTTATCTTTAACATAGTATCTTAGCCTCCCGATCGAGTGAGTATAAAAGACCCCGTATAAAAAGAACTAACTTGAATCTGCTCATCATATTTATAACTCTCGAAAAAGCATTAGTATATATAGATAAATAATGTTTCATCTAATAGAACAAAATAAAAACACCTGATAATATCAAGTATAAAAATGATATAATTAATAACGACATCATCATCATCATCAAGCCATTCTCCACTTTGTGGGATGAACTATATGATTCATTTTTGTCCATTGTGCCCATATGAGTCAATTTTCTCATTTAAATTAACGTGAAAAGAATAATTTGTACAAGTAATATAAAACAAAAAATGAAAAAAAAAAAAATAATTTGATAATCAGAGTATGCTTCCACCTCTTCAGCATCATGAAGGAGATTTCTAATAACCCACATAGAATAAGCAAATTCAAAGAAAAGATGAACATTATTTTTGTTAAGTTACCACTTACTTATGCATCATCAATCATCATGATCCTTTACACATGTAATGATACACACACCACCTTTTAGACACTGACCTCTAACGGTCATCTGACATGCTCAGGGAGAACTTTTTACCTTTTTCTCTCTGTTATATACCGAAGGGATGGAATGAATCGTTCAAGCTTTTCCCTTCATTTTACTGTTCATCTTCTCCTCCTCCGATTCTAATATGGTATTAGAGCGCGATTAAGCTTCATAGCTGATCATCTCTTCTCTAATGGCGGATCAAGGAGCATCATCTCAGACGCAGTCCGCTTCCTCTCATCCTGCGAATGCGTCTTCTCTATCTGCTACTATGGCCGACTTCACTGTCCCGCCCCATCTCAAATTTCTCATGTCGAATCTAAAGCTCTTGGTGCATAACCAGCTGACCGTCGACAACTATGCTTTATGGCGTATGCAGATTCATCAGGCCTTCACTGCCAACGGATTCGAAGGCTATATCTCCGGCCAACTACCGTGTCCTGAATCGGTCAGTGATCAGAAACTTTGGAAGTTAATTGATCAAAACTTAATCTCAGCCCTATTTTCCACCATTTTTCCATCTGTTCTACCATATATTCTGCATTTGAAAACTTCTCACGAGATCTGGATTACCCTGGAGCGTCGCCTGCAACCATCCAACCGGTCCCGTGTGATTCAACTGAAGAATGAGCTACATAGTGTGCAGATGAGGGATCAAACCATTTCGCAATATCTGTCGCAGATTAAATCTCTGGTTGATAACATTGCAGCTGCCGGATCTCATATTGATATTGAGGACATTATACTTTTTACTTTAAAGGGACTTCCGCCTTCATATAATCCTTTCAAAGCTGCTATTCGCACCTCCCCTCACACCATCACACTTGAGTCCCTCTATTCCCTATTATGCAGCGAAGAGATCAATCTTCAATCGGAGCTTCTGCAAGAAACCACACTGTCCGGTGATGTTCAGGCTCTTTACTCCTCCCGTGGATCAGGACGAACCTCCAATGCCAAGAACAACAGAGGTCGAGGAACTTCTTCTTTTTTTTTTTTTTTTTTTTTTTTTTTTTTGTCGCC